TCCTCCAATAAAAGCTCTTTCTTCAAGAGATATCTTTTGTATTTATTTTTCTAAGTTATTCCAAAATTTAATTTTAAATTTATATCCAAACCTACTTGAGGAGCATAAACACTTATAATATTAACAATTTTAGCTTCAACAACAATCTTTAAAACTATAATTATATTTCTAATTCTTTTAATTTTTATAACAATATCCTTCAAACTCTTATCTTTAATCACATTTACACCATTTCTAGTACGACCTTATCTTTCATATAAATTTATAATTATTTATTTATTTTGAAAATTTTACTTAATTAAATCAATTTGATTTATTTGTCACAGCTAAATTAAAACATTATTGTCAAAATTCGATTAATTCTTAATATCAATATTAATTTTTCTTAATTAAATAGTAAATTCTCCAGAGTCTTTAAAAGTGCAACTTGGGTAACATGAGTTGACAAGCCAACAAGTTATTAATCATGGAAAGCATCCAATTCCTCCAGAGCACTTTTTAGTCTATGAAGAATATCCTCATAGTCATTCTCTTGATTCTTTCTTGGTGATATAAGAGGGATTGTTACAATGTACTTTGCACTAGCAGGTGATAACGTCCCTTCAGAAACTTTTTCTTTCTCTTTATTTCTTATCAACTTCTTTGTATATATTGGAGTTGTATGTTGTTGTCAGGATTGTATGCCACGAGTGTGATAAGTCACAGGGAACCTATGGGTGGGACTTTTGTGTGTTCATTCCTAACCTCCACTTGTCTGAGTCTGCAACTAACACCTATAGCTCACAAACTAGTCATCATGGCCATAATCAAAGGAAAATAATGCATATTGAAAAAAAATAAAATAAAACAGAAGTTTTGTCAGCAAATTTTTGTTTTTTTCCTTTATTTTTCTTGTTCTTATATTAATGGCAACAACAAAGTATTATACTGGGATAGACTTTATAACAAGCCTTTATGATTGAACTTATGACTTATAAAAGAGTATCAACCTAAGCATAAATTCTAATATAAATTTTCGGGGTCTTACAATTCCACATCCTTTGGAGGATGATACCCATATTAGACTCGTGGCATCATTGAGGATACCTTCCTTCGGATGATAATGGGACTTACAATATCATTGAGGATATAAGCCTAGAGTTCCTAATGTAATCTTTTCATTCTAATGCCCATCAAAATACTTGTCATTTGGTCTATAGTATATGTATACTCTAAGGAATCATTAACCTAGACTAATGGATCTAGATGAGGCGTTGCCTATCCTGGTGGGTCTTTCAATCTTGTTCTATAAACAAGACTGCCGAATGATAACATTAAGGGTTTTTATGTAACGATTTGATTAAATTGTCTAAACCAATAACGATGGCTCATATGTTGCTATATTTTTGTACTAATTTTAAGGCTCCATTAGTCTAATATCTGACCATAAGACACACTATCATCAGTATATCAAATATGAAAATTACCCTTTAATAGCTCTAACTATTATTTTGGGATTTAAAAAATGTGCTTGTTGATTTTAAAGTGAGTAGAAAACATGGTCTGATAGTAATAGTGGTATTAAAAGTTAATTCAATTTAGTACATGTGCTAATACGAAGTGTTATGGATGCTTAAGTGTGTGAGCACATAATAATGTGTTATGAATGTGATAGCATGATACAACATATGAATCATATGTATTTATTATAATATAGTAATGCATCGTATTTTATACTTAGGATCATCGATTAAAAAGGTGTTCGAGGCGGACGCCTCGAAGCGCACCTCGAATCGAGGCGGAGGTTGGGCGAACTGAGGCTTAAGC